CCTCAGTCTGGGTGTGAGTCCCTACTCTGTCCTCAACTCTACCTTGGGAAATTTGTCCCAAAGGAAAGAAAGGCTTAGTTTAGGTCAGCGTTACTTGGGGAATGACCTTCCTCCCTCCCTCTCAACACCGGACTTGTTTTGAACACACGATCTCACCTGCATCTCTGTCTCCTACCTGAACGTTCGGCTCACTCACGAGTGGCAACCCCTCAGCTCTCCAGATTCAGTAACCATCCAGGCAACAAATGCAGCTTCCACAGGGTCATGAGCTAATATATTTGGAGCAGGGGAGTGCCGTTTCCAGCTGCCAAATGGAAGCCTGTCCGACGAAGTACTAAATCTCTTCTGCGTGAAAGATGGTCTCTTGTAGTTTAGTCTTGTGGGGACATGATTTCACCGCACACATATGTGAGTCATGTTGAAATAGGTCCTACCGTTAAGTTTTATGAGGGCTGAGGTCTTTCTTGGCTGGGCGTGGAGGAGGTGACTCGGGGGGAGAGAGAGAGGGAAGTAGCTGTTTGCACCAGGAGAGACCCTGCCCTTCTCCAGTGAGTGAGTGTGTGTGTGTGTGTGTGTGTGTGTGTGTGAGAGAGAGAGAGAGAGAGAGAGGTGGCACCCACGTGCGAACTGGTGTATCCCAGTAATGGGGAGAAGGAGAGCAAATGGGACCAGGTCCAAAGGGTATCGGAGGCTCTGAGGCCAGATCCGTGGGCAAGAGGTCAAAGGCAGGGCTGTGGCCACACAAAGAGACGGCCACCTGTGAGTCTGCCACACCTGGGAAATCAGAAAAGGGAAAAGGAATAAATCAAGTGACTTTGGACCTCTCAGTGGTCTCATCACATTGTTATTCGGGTTTCTTACCGCATATCAAAGCCTGTCTTCAAAAACCTCAGGCACTCTGAGGAGTGCTGAGAATACTGAAGTCTCCAGCAAAAGGGAATTGTGCCCCTACTTAGAATAACGCAAGGGGTGTGTGTGTGTGTGGTGGGGTGTGTGGGGGGAGGTTTCCAGAGCCCTGATCTCTAATATCTAGTACCCACAGGGGACAGGAGTCCCACACCCACGGCTAAATTCGAGCACTGGGCCCAGCAGTTTGTAGTCCTTCCGCTGGCAGAATGAGGGCACCGTGCATGCAGATTCCAGCGCCGCTGCAAATCTCTTAGAGCCTCACATGGCGGGGTAAGCTTCCTGTCCTCCTCCCTCTCGCTGTGAAGGTTTCATTGTTTCCATCTCTTTCTTGGAAATGAGGATGTTCCAGATCTGAAAGAATATTTAAAATGAAGGGGGCATCTACAGAGCACATTGTTTTGCCCAGAGTCTATTAAAAAAAAAAAAAAGCAGATAGCAGATCTGGACAGCCTCAGCCAGGATTGTGATAAGCAAATCTTCGTGGTCACTCTCATTGAACTTTTATGCTCAGTGGGTGTGTTATCTGTGTCCCCAGGCTTAGGACAAGAATTTGCGCTGGTGATTTAAATATGGAGGCTCTGAGGCCCCCGGAAAATCGAAGTGTAATGGGGTGCATCCACCTCTGGCTTCAATCAATACATAAACCTCTGATTTAGGCTCCTTCTTGCAATCCCAAATCTCTGTAGTCCTCACTGTGACATCATAAAAGGGACCTTCCATGGCCCTGTGCATTGCCAGGATAGTGAGGTAGTTTGGCTGTGTCTACCCAGCAATATAGAGGGGGGAGTCATGTGCATTAAAGACAGTCATCAGAATGGATCAGAGACCCCTGCCGCGGTGGCATCTCCCCCACCCCCCAGAAAAAAAAATCTTGTTCAACTTTTGAGTATAAAGAACGCTCTCCATTGCTCTAATTGTCCACTGTCATTTGTTCCTGAAGCTCTTCCGTCTCAGGCGAAACCATCTTTACCAACGAGCTTCCTCCAAAGACAGCGCAGCCACATTTAAGCTCAAGTTCATTGGGTTTGCTCCGGCCCTCGGCGCTCTCTGGTGCTGGAGCTTGGAGCTGTGTGGCCACCAGGCCCAAGGAGCCCTCGCCCCTGCCCCGAGCCTCCTCCGCGCCAGGCCCAGTTGCTCTTGGGCCAGCTCATTTCGCCACAGCTCGGGGCCGTTCGGGAAGCAAAGATTAAAGGGGAAAGTCGCTGCTGTATATTTATATTTTCATTGCTAGAAGGGAATTGATTTCCGCGCATTTATTTTGGTAGTTGTAATACACAAGGGCGGATTTGCGTCACCCGAGCAACTTGTCGGTGGAGATAAAGTTGCACAAATATTAAAAGGGGAAGTGCTAGGAGTCATTATAGAGTTTTTCTCCGGAAGAAATAAGGATTTCTGCAGTATCCTAAAATACTAAGGCCGCTTCTATTTTGAGACCAATCTCGCAGGCACATCCGCTCATTTGGTCGGAGTTTGAGCCCATCAAAAAACAGGAGATGACCTGAACTCCGGCGAGCTCAGGGTTTCCTGCTGCTTTCTGGGTTCGGAGGGGTGGGGAGTAAGGAGGAGGGGAGTCTGCGGGCTCCGGAGAGGGCTAGGGGCCGGCAGAGACGAGGCCTGGGCCTGGGGAGGGAGTGTGTGTGTGTGTGTGTGTGTGTGTGTGTGTGTGTGTGTGTGTGTGTGTTGAGGGGGCAGTTGGGGGGCACAGGGTCGTTTCAAAGGTTCCCCTTTTCGCGGTTCCCCCGCCCCGGGAGCTCCGGATAGGCTAGGGTGGCGCTGATGCGGTTGCAAGGAAGTCGAGGGCCTGGGAGGGCCGAGGGGCGCGCGGGCCAAGGTGCAATTTACAGTTGAGCCTTGGACCTTGCGCGGAAAGAGGGGAGTCCGTGGGGAAACCCGACTTCCCGGTCTCGCCTGGGCCCAGCCTCCCCTGCGCATCTGGCCTTAGAGTGCTGCGGGTGCGGGTCCTGGGCGCTGTGGGTGCCGTGGGAAACCCGGAGGGCCCACATTTCTCCCCAGTCCCCCCCCAGGGTAGCGTCTTATTTGGGGGTAGGCGGCCCGGGGTGGGTCCTACACGCATCTCTTGGAACGGCGGGTGTAGGCTCAGGCCGCGGCTGGAATGTTGGCTGTCACGTTGGAATGGAACCCGAACTGGACGTGACCCCAGAGAAGAGCGACATGCACTCGTTCCAGTGGCTTCCCTGAGGTCTGGGGAGCTGCAGAGGCCGCGCCCTCCCGCGGGACCCTCGCCCGCATCCTCAGCCTTTGCTGGCCACGCCTTTACTGTCGCCTTCCAAGGAGGGTCTAACGGTCTCGAGTGGCCTGTGCTTGTCGCTCCTGCTCCTGGCGATATAAGCAGAAGGGCCAGTCTTCCGGCGTCTCCCGCCCCAGGTGCCGGTGCTCGCGGCCCATCCCACCTCTCCATCCCATTGCTGGAAGCACCAGCTCTGTGGCTGGCTGCACGGAGCTGGGCAAGGGAGCCCTTCAGTAGAAGAGAGACCGCCGACGACCTGGGCGGAGGGGGCGGGGGGGGGGGGCGGCTCTCAGTTGGCTGGTCGGAGATGGTCGATTGGTGATTGATTACATTTCAGGAGAAAGTCAAAGCTTAACATCTGCAAACAAAGGGCTAGAAACCATTAGAAATCAATTCAATTAGGCCAAATCCTAAACTCGAGATCGGCCTGGCGAATTCAGTTGCCTTCCTGGGTGTTTGGGTAAGAAGCGTTAGTGCTGAAGTGAAATTAAAAATGCCAGAGTTTATTGCAACTATATGGAGAGATTTTTTTTGGGGGGGGAGGGGAATGCCACGGGAGCACAGCTGCTCTGTTCAGAGATGCTTATTAGGACAATCGAAAACAAAAGATTTTGTGGTTTCATTATTGTTATTATTTTATTTTCTTCCTGAAAATGTGCAAGAAGGGCCCATCTGGGTGGCCTGTGGTTTGTTTGGGAGAGGGGTGGGGAAATCCATTCTTACTATAATTTAAAAGAGAACGAATTCTTAAAATAGAGATGTTGATGTTGCAGAAACCCCCCCCCCCCACTGCACCCACCCTGCGCCCCAAAAACCCAAAGTGCGAAAGGATCACGCTGGCGGCCCCTGCAGCTTCTGCGGAGACCAGGCCCCACGGGTTCCTAGGGAAGCAGTCGATGAGTTGAGAGTAATATTTAACCCCAAGGAAATCTGCTCGTGTGGGCACTTGCAAAACAACGGAGCCCACGTGACCCGGGGATGTGGCAGGGGAGGGAGGGTGCCGCTTCCTACAAGGTGCCGCCGCCGCGGAGGCAACGCGCGCGCGCGTGCCGCCCTCCAGGGTTTCGGTCGCAGGTCTGTTTTGTTGTCTCGGGGCTGGAGGGAAAGTCTGGCTGCGTCCGAGGCAGACGTTTGCAGCCATCCATCTTACTTTGTTTGAAAAGTTACTCGTTGGAGTTGTCACCGTGTGACAGCTCAAAATAAGGCTGATTTGCGACCGCTGCTCCTCCTCTCTTCCCCGAGGACCCCAGAGGCCGCAAAGAGGACGCCGTGCTAAATCGGGTGGGGGCCCAGGGCCGCAGCCTTCGCGCGCGCGCGTGCGCGCGAGCTCGGGGCTGGGCAGCGAGGGGTGCGAAAGACGGAGCCCTGCGGAGGCTTTATCCCGATTATCCGATTTTCGGGATAAAGGTCCTATTCGAAGAAAAATCGGGCCCGAGGGATGTAAAGAGAGAGACACTTGGGAGGCCTCCAGCGCGTTCTGGGAGGCGGGCTTTGTACCCGCCAAAATTACGCGGCATCGTCCCTTTCCCCAGGAGAGTGCTCCAGGACTTCTGTGACCAACTGTCCACTCCCGGTGCCGGTTCGACGCTGCAGAATTCCCTGGCACCACCGGGAGGGACGCTCTGGACCCCGCTCGGCCCACGCGGCAGCGGCAAACACTTTGGCGTGGCCGGGGCGTGGCCGGGAGGAGAGCCACGCCCCTCTCTGCCAATTCCCCTCCACTCCCCGCTCCCATTGGCCTCAGGGGTGGCCAATGAGAGCTCAGATCGAGGCCCTACCCTGAGTCTGACTCGAAAGCTCCTGCCAAAACTTTGGGAGTTTTTAGAGAGGAGTTTTTTTTTTTCTCTTATTCCTTTTTTTTTTTTTAACTAACGGATTATTATTGTTGTTGTTTTAAATTTAGCTCTTAGGGCTTAGCTGTTTGGGTTTTTCTTTCGCTGCGCGGCCCCTGTCTCTCCGGCTTCCCGAGCGTGAGCGGAGCCGCCGCGGCCGGCCCGAGAGCCGCTCCAGCGCCCTCGCTCGCCTCCAGCCCGCGGGGAACGCGGTCCCCGCGCCGCCTTCAAAGTGAGGTCCGGGCGAGCTGTGATCGGCGGGGACCCGGCCCTCGCCTCCTTCCTCGCGGGCGCTAGGGCTCCCTGGCCTCTTTTCAGAGCGGACGGAGAAGCGAAAGAGGATCATCCTCGGCTGGGCGGCCGCCTCCTCCCGGACTCAGCGCGCCGCTACCCGCGCCCCTACCCACCCATCCACCCGGCCCGGCCGGGCTAGGCCGCGGCGGCCGCTAGGCGCACCCGGCCAGGAGGCCAGGATGTTCGCCGCCGGGCTGGCTCCCTTCTACGCCTCCAACTTCAGCCTCTGGTCGGCCGCTTACTGCTCTTCGGCCGGCCCTGGCGGCTGCTCCTTCCCCCTAGACCCTGCTTCGGTCAAGAAACCCTCTTTCTGCATCGCAGACATCCTGCACGCCGGCGTGGGGGAACCGGGGGCGGCCCCGGAGGGCCTGGCGGGGGCCTCGGCCGCCGCCCTCACCGCGCACTTGGGCTCCGCTCACCCGCACGCCTCTTTCCAAGCTGCTGCCAGGTCCCCGCTTCGACCCACCCCGGTGGTGGCGCCCTCCGAAGTCCCGGCTGGCTTCCCGCAGCGGCTGTCTCCGCTCTCGGCCGCCTACCACCACCATCACCCACAGCAGCCGCAGCAGCAGCAACCACCGCAACAGCAGCAGCCTCCGCCTCCACCGCGGGCCGGCGCCTTGCAGCCCCCGGTCTCCGGAACACGGGTGGTCCCGAACCCCCACCATAGCGGCTCGGCCCCAGCCCCCTCCAGCAAGGACCTCAAATTTGGAATTGACCGTATTTTGTCTGCAGAATTTGACCCAAAAGTCAAGGAAGGCAACACCCTGAGAGGTAGGTCTTGGGCGAGAGACCGCAGGCCTCTGGCGGGGCCCTGGGGCAGTTCGGGTTACGTTTGAGTGTTTTTACAATTAAGGACAAACTGGCGATAAAAGGAGGGAGAAGAAAATCAATTGTGAGACGATTATGAAACACTAGGTTTGAAACTGACCTGATCCATGTTTAAACAACAACAACAACAACAACCCAGGAATGCTTTAAAACCGCACTTCACAGAATCGATACTCATGACAATGGGTGGTGTAAACGTTTGCTAAAATGACTATCACCTGCTTATCTTTAGTCACATATCTGGAGAGAGAACTATGTTATTTGTCAGGGAAAACCCTTTTGGGGAACGCTTTCCGCTCATTTATCCGAACCTAAGGAATGTGGAGACACAAGTGAACTCTCAACTCCCAAGAGGAGAGGGCAGCGTGGGGCTCCTCCCGTGGGAGGGTCGAGGTCTGTGGAATTCTTAAAAGGCACCTGAAAGGGACTCGGTTTTAGGCAGAGCCCCTCCCTGCCGTCACAGCCTGGACGTGGCCGTGGGATATGTTGTGTATCGCCCCTTGGCGGCGACCGGGAGAGAGGGGTTTGGGGTGGAGACAGGGGTCTCTTGACTTTGCTCCAGGAAAACCAAATGGAGGGCGCGGGGGAGGGGAGGAACAACTCAGCCCAAAGAGTGTGGGTTTGCTCTGAAGTGTAACCAATTCTCTTTTTTTTTTTTTGCTTTGTCCCCAGATCTCACGTCCCTGCTCACGGGCGGGCGGCCCGCGGGGCTGCACCTCCCCAGCCTGCAGCCCTCCGCCGGCCAGCTCTTCGCGTCTTTAGATCCTATCAACGAGGCTTCTGCCATCCTCAGTCCCTTAAACTCGAACCCGAGAAATTCGGTTCAGCATCAGTTTCAAGACACGTTTCCAGGTACGGAGCGGGCGGGTCCGCGGGCAGAAAACTCGCGGCCGATGCCTCACGTGGCGGCAGGGGTGTAGCGGTGCGGGAGTTCGTGCGGGAGGCCACCCAGGTCGGGAGAGGCAAACCGAAAGATGTCTCCGCGAGCTGGCTCCCTCTCTGGCCGGCTCCCGGAGGAAAGGCGTGGGGACCCGGGGAGCCAAGAACGTGTGTGGGTGCCGTGGCTGAGTGGGATAGAATGGGGGGGCTTCTCCTAGTCTTCCCTCGGGAGAGGGTGCTTTGACAGTGCGGCCGCAGGAGGTGTTGCTTATTATTGTACACACATTTTGAAATGACCTCAAAGCCTTTGAGTCAAGAGATTGTATCTGCGCTGCTCGCATGGGCGAGAGAGAGAGAGAGAGAGAGAGAGAGAGAGAGAGAGAGAGAGAGAGAGAGAGGGAGAGAGAGAGGGAGAGGGAGAGGGAGAGGGAGAGGGAGGGGAGGAATCCAGGCTGGCATCTCTAGATCCTTTAGGCCCAAGGGGACATTTTCGCCTGCTCTTAGCAAGCCTGATAGCCAAGCACCAGGTTTACGTTTTTTCCTTTGGAGTTAATGGACTAGCCGCAGGGCTTCTCGACTCGCCACACAATCGCTTTAGGCTGTTTCATCCCCTGCTCAAAAGCTGTAACATTCGTCCTTGGAGGAGGGCTTTGTGAATGCCCCGTGGGGCTGACCGTTAAGCAAACCGGTTTTGAGCCGCCTGGGAGCGCCAGGCGGCAGGCTGCGCACAGGGGTCTCTCTCTTGCCCTCACTACACCGCTTACCCCCCCACCCCCTACTCCTCGCCAGGCCCCTATGCTGTGCTCACGAAGGACACTATGCCCCAGACGTACAAGAGGAAGCGCTCTTGGTCGCGGGCGGTCTTCTCCAACCTGCAGAGGAAAGGCCTGGAGAAAAGGTTTGAGATTCAGAAGTACGTGACCAAGCCGGATCGGAAGCAGCTGGCGGCGATGCTGGGCCTCACCGACGCACAGGTAAGCCGGCTTCCGCGCCGCCGACGCACAGCTCCTCCGCGGGCAGCCTGCGCCCCTCAGTCCCAAGAAACCCTCCGCCCTGACCCACTCGCCTGCGGTGGAAACACAAGGCCTTGAATTTCGGCAGACTTCGTGGTCTTCCCAACTTAAGGCGGGAGAGAGGAGGGTGGAGGAGAAGGACGGAAGGAAGGCGAAGCCCATCCCCAAAGATGTGTGTCAACAAGCAGTGTCTGTTTATTTTGGCCAACAGGCAAAAGACCCGCTGAGAAAGCAAATAGGCCGTGGGAGGTAATAATTATGTACTCGACTCGAGTGCAATTCGCTGTAGGAAGCAGTTTGTCTCACAAGAGATAAAAACCCCAAGTCAAGAGATTGTTATTGGCTTTTTTTCCCCTCCCATCCTCCCTCCCATCCTCCCTCCCCTCCTCCTCCTCCTCCTGCTGCTGCTGCTGCTGCTGCTGGATTGTGAAATCCCCGGGTTGTGAGGAAGTGAAAACATCATTTCAAACGGAATCACTTAGCCCCGGGAGGGCAACGAGTCCGCTTGGAGCGGCCACAGTCTGATTTTCTAACGGCATAAGCTCTGGAGAAAACAAAAAAAAAATCTCAGGTGGGGTGTGGGGAGCGAGGGAGAGAAAGGAAAACGATTTCTTAGAATGCCGAAGAGCATTGCAGCAGGTTCCGGCTTCTGCATCCTGGAATACTTTTCAAGAAAATAGCAAACCTGTCATGCCTGCCTTCCATGTCTGAATTCGTTTTTTTTTTTTCTTTTCTCAAATCTCAAATTCAAGAACTGGACTGTTCTTTTTTTTTTTCTTTTTCCTTTTTGAGTTTTGAGACCAGAAGAGTCCCCTTTCTACCACGCCCCACCCCAGTGGCCCTCGCTCTCTGGGTGCTGAACGTCCCCAGCAGCACAGAAACCAAAGGCAGGCGCTTTTAAAGGGGCCCCCTTAGCTGCAGCCCCCCCCCCAATCTCTGTGTCTCTCTGTCCTCCATCGCATAACTCCCCTCCCCAGCACACACGCTGGAAGAGCCCAGCCGTTTTCCACCAGCTGTGGATGTTATTTTTAAAAGGGAAGCTGGAACTTGTGTGAACGCATTGAGTCCCCCAGGGGATGGTATATATTTATATAGATCCCTCGTCCTGTCTCTGCTTCCACCCTCCACTGTGCACAGGTTTAATTCCAGTGTTTTCTGGGCCCATAGTAGGATTAGTTTATCCTGATCCGCTTCTGAGAGCATGCATGCCAAGGAGCTGCCTTGCACTGAAGGTCCGGCGCCCCAGCTCCACTGGGACCCACTCTTTGAACCCCTTTCCCCTCTGTGCTTCCCCTGGTTCCTCCCTGAAATGAGCTGCTTTTGTAGGGACTTGCCTGGGATCGTGGCCTTGGAGGGGGACGGGCGGTTTAGCAGGAATTCTTAACATGGGTTCCCCAAGCCCTTGAAACTGTGTGCAAAATCTTGGGAATGTGTGCGTGTTTTTGGGGGTGAGGCGTCGGTCAGATTCTTGGGAGGGTCCTGACTCAAGTGAGGTTAAGGAAGCATCCGTTTAAGAGTAGAGATCCCCCGCGTTCGCAGTTTGCAGGCGAGGTGCAGGAATCTGCTTTCCAACAAGTGCTCTGGCCCTTCCAAGCTGGAGGTCCGGAGAGCTACGCTTTGAGAAACAGGCCTAGTGCGTCTGTCAGGCTGAGCAACAGGCCTAGTGCGTCTGTCAGGCGGGGCTCCCTGGCGCTCTCCTTGTTTCCCCGGGCAGCCTCTGGGCCCCTGCGCCTAGCACCGTGCCTGGCCCCGTCCTAGAGGGTCTGGGGACAGTTACCGCTGCTTTCCCGCCTTCTCCCGGGGCACGCCCGCGTGCACTGCAGTGAGCCTGGGCCTCATCTCGGTGTCCCTTCTTGTCCCCTGGCTGCACAGGTGAAGGTGTGGTTCCAGAACCGGAGGATGAAGTGGCGGCACTCCAAGGAGGCCCAGGCCCAGAAGGACAAAGACAAGGAGGCGGACGAGAAGCCGGCAGGCGGAGCCCCGGCTGCAGACGGTGAGCAGGAGGAGCAGAGCCCTAGCCGCTCCGAGGGGGAGGCGGAGAGCGACAGCAGCGACTCTGAGTCTCTGGATATGGCCCCCAGCGACACCGAGCGGACTGAAGGGGCCGAGCGGTCTCCACACCAAACCACGGTCATCAAGACCTCGGTCGCCGGTGCAGTCCTCTCCGCCAGCAGTGGTGGGAGTGGTGGCAGCGGCGGAGGCAGCGGCGGCGGCAGTTTCAGCTTCAGCGGCCATGGAGGCAGCAGTACCAGCGCAGGCAGCCTCGGCGGCAGCGGCGTGGCCCTGGAGCTGCTCCCTGCACCCCAGCCCACCCTCAGCAGCGCTCCCAAAAGCCCCGAGCCCGCTCAGCCACCGCTGGGAGGCCTATAGACTGGCGGAGGGCGGAGGGGACTGGGTGCTGCGTGCAGACGTGCAGACGCGTAGCCTTCCAGCGTCGTAGCTGGATCTCGTGCCTACTTTATAGTGGCGGCCCGGACACGGCCAGAGACGCAGCGGTGGAGCCTCCGTCCCCACGTTCGCATCTCGCCCCTCGCTGGCCGCCTGGTACAGCCCACACTTGAGTGGCTTGGGGAGACTCAGTGCCCCAGCTGGCCGGACACTCCTCCTGGATACAAGCAGCTCACACTGTGACGAGTGACTCCCCAGTTCCTTCCCGCTCTAGGGGTCGCAAGGACATGCTGCACTTAGGATGCCACAAACTTGTAAATAAAATGTTTACTACGGTTTGTAAAGAAAGGCTGGTTGGCTGGATGGGGCCCTGTGGCCAGGGGTCTCGGTGCTGGACTTCGGCCCCTGGCCGCTTCGGGTCGCAGCAGCTGGAGGTGGGGACTGGAGGTTTTGGGGTAAGTGCTGGGGCCTCAGAGCCACCTCGTTGCAGAGATCGGTGTTGGGGCTGAACTGTCCCACCAGTTCAGGGCTATCTTTGCCTGCAGCCCACCAGTCGCCAGTGCACTTGTGCTAGGTGACCCTGAGTGTGGTCTGAGAGCGGAGTTGGCCAGAAAATCTGCCCCTGTTAGGGGCAGAGGGCTTCCCCGTGGAGAGTCAGGCCCGCATGAGGGGGCTTGCAGGCTCTCTGCAGATGCAGAGTTGGGATGGAGAAGACGGCAGTGCCCAGAAGGGTTAATGAGGCCACGGCCTACACTCCCAGGGTGGCCGCTCCATGCCGGGCCTGGAGCCGTGAGGCAATTCCAGTGCAAGCGGCCCCTCCCGCACGTCTGGTCTGTAGTGTCCTGGAGGAAAGGACGAGCAGGCCACCGTGGTTAGGGCTGGAAGGCTGGGCCTGGGACGGCTTTAAAGAAGCCCATGCAATTGCAAGGCAGGGAGGCGCCTTGTTCAAGGTCATACTGAGGCCGGGCTGCAGAGCAGAACTTGGACCGTCCTGGCGTCCATTTGGCTAGCGATGGGGCTGTGAAACTGCACCTGCACCCTAATCCACACACCCCCATCTTCCTTCAGAACTGGGCTACTGCAGGCACCGGGTTGATTAAGCTCTTCTCCCACACCCCCAACACTGCCACGATTTGGGAAGGAGTTGCCCCATCCCACTGCAGCTGGAATGTAGCAAACCCATTTCACCTCCATGCTGCCACTGGAACGGGCCGGTCGAAAACATTTTTTGAAAGCTTGAAGAGTCAAAGCTCTCTGCAAGACCGGTCCTTCCCTGGTTCACTTTCCCTCGAAACTACACCATGGCTGGAGTTTGTAAAAACATTCTTTTGGGAGATTTTAAAACAAACAGACGTTGCTTACAGACTCGATCGCCCGGGCCTGTTTGGCGCAGAGCTGTGAGAAGGGCGGGAGGCATCTGATAGGCTGACCGTCCACTGGGGGAGCTGGTTCTCATGGAGAGCAGTGCTGCACCCGACACGCCGGGGAGCCCAGGACCGACCACCCTCGCCCCCTGGCCAGAGTGGGAAGTCTCCCTGGCCTGGCTTAGCTTCTTCTCCACTTTGACCTATTAGCTTGAGCACATTAAAAAAAAAAATGTTCCTTGCAGATTTATGGACCCAAGAGCAGAGCAGACGCCCCAGATTTATTCTTCTCTGGTCCGGTGCATCATACACCTGGGCAAGTCCCAGGGCACAGCGCAGGGATGCGAGGCTGACCACTTCCTACCCCCGCCCCCCCCGCCCCCCGCACACAACCCATCAAGCTGAATGTACACAGTGAGGAGGGGAGAGGGAAGACCAGGGTGGTCCGAGGGAGGAAAGGGAAAAGAAAGGTGGAGGCCCCAGGAGGGGCTGAGAGTTAAAGGGGAACGTGAGCCAGCTGTTACCCCTAAATGTGCCACGGAGGAGGGGTGGGCAGCCTCCCCACCTGCCCCGAGTGCCCACCCTGGGCTGGGGAGTGGGGCTGGTGGGGTGGGGGGGAGGTCACTGCACTCCTTGAATCTACAAGCTCTGCCGCACGAGCTACTGGATTCTCTCCGTGCCCCAATTTTGCCTTTATCACCCCAAAAATCAGCTCCCCAAATGTTGAGATTCTGGAACCAGCACTTCCCAGGAACATGGAATTACAGGCACTGGGATCCGGTTCTGGCCGCACGGAGAAGGACGGGCCACACATGCACCTGGTGCAGGAGCCGGGCAGGGGAGGGGCATGGGAGAAGTCGGTGCCCCAGCTACCCCAACCTTGTGCGTGACCCCTGCCCCCTAAAACCCCCCACCCTCACCGCATTTCTCCTCCTGGGCCCAGTTTTCAGAAGTGAAGGCAGTCATGGCCCCGGGGACTGGACTGTAATGATGTGATTTCAGGTAAAATTGGACCTTATCTCAGCCAGGATCAGCCAGACCAGAGGGTGAGGTGAGCTGGGGGGTGTGGGTTCCTGGGGGTGGGGGTCAGGGTGCTCCTGGACAGTTCCTAGGAGGCACCCCTTCCTCCACCACCCCCCACTTTCGTTCCTGAACCCTTTCCCAGTGAAACCCAAGCGGGCTTTACCCTGGGCAGCGCAGTTCTCCCGCATTTTCTTCGGGACCGAGTATCGCAGGGCCCAGAGAAGTTTCGAGTTCAGTTGGAAGACGAGCAGTCACAGGGTGGCGGGGAGGGAAGCGGCGTTTCGGCGCAGGCCGCCCCTGCCCCTGACTGATGAAATCTTCCCGACGGCGCTCGATGCTAGTGGGAGCAGACGGGAAAGCTAGATATTCCAGAGCTAAGAACCGGATCTCTCCGGCACGTCAGAGAAGGCTGGGTGCCCAGGGGCGGCGGATGCCAGGCCCGCTGAATCGCAAAGGGCTGGGGCTTGGGGGCCTCGGGTGCGAGCGGGCCTCCAAGCAGAGCAAAGAGGTGGCCCCAGCCGCGCGTCCCCGCTGCCCCGGGCCTCGCCCTTTCCTAAAAGCAGTAATAGCGGTTTGCTTGGAGCAGAACTCTGCCTCACCAGCCGCCGCAGCCTTCGCGGCGCCAAGTCCTCCGAGCAAGGTAGCCGGACGCAGCTGGAGGGACGGCCACCAGCGCGCGCCTCGCTGGGAAGGGCGAGGAAGGGGGCCTAATACTTACCACCCCCGATTGCGTGCACATGCGCACGCGGGTACACGCACAAACATCACAATTACACACACACACATCCACAGAGGCACACAGAACCCAGACTCAGACACATGAGAGACAGAGTCTCCTGGCGATTTCAGCTCCTTGGGGATAAAACCCACCGCGTTACTCTGCCAGTGTGCGTGAGCGGGGCGCTGGTCTCCGGCAGTTGGCTCGCGCCGCGCCAAGTTTCTCGGACCAAACCACTGAAGCCGGAGCCGCATCCCCCGCCATGGGCCCGCTGCAGCCGACGGTGCGCAGGGATCTGGATCCCTGGACTGACCGCAGCGGGTGGAAGTGGCCGCATTGCCCGCGCTGGGAGCCAGAGCTGCTGGCCCTTCAGCTCTTCAGGGAGAGGTGTTGCCTCCTAGAGAGGCTGTGGCCCCCATAACAACTCAGGAAAACCCCCGGGTCCCCGCCCCCCGTAAGTCCTCATGTGTATGGGGGGGGCAGTTACTCAGACTCCAGTGGTCACAAACCCCTCTGACTCCCTCAGCCCCTCAGAGGGGACTAAGGGTATGGGGAGTGCCATGCTGGCTAGGGCTCTATTCCACTTTGGGTGCGAACCGAGCAGGGGGGTTGTGAGTGCCTGGCCTTTGGTCCCTCCTGTTCTGGGTACCTGAAGCCGTTATCACTGGAAAGTGACCCCAGGTTCCCCTCCTCAAGCTCCACGGCACAGTCTTAGGTCCGGAAGCCTTGGGGTCCCCAGGGCCTGCAGGAACCAGGACCTGCAGCAGGGGGTTTCTGGGGGCGTTTTAGACTTGGCGTCAACCTGTTCCCGGATGCGATCCCACCTCCTCTCCAGCCCTTGTTTGCAGGAGTGACTGTGGCAAGAAATGGGGAAGGGGGCCAGACGCTGAGGTCAAGGCTCCCTCCGCCCATCTGTGCCCCGCTGCCCCTCCCCGCCTCCTAGGAGCCTCCTTCAAGGGGCCCCGCCTCCTTTAAGGAGCTTTGTCCTCTTTTTAAGGAGGAAGAGATGGCTGGGGGACTTTGGGCCAAGAGCTCCCCGCACAACCCCGTCACACTGATTTGAAGATGGCCCAGAAGACCCTAGACATACGAGGTCCTCTCATTCCCCCTTTTTTAGCCTCTGGGGGAGGGTTTTCTTGCAGGTGTTGGGGCTGGGGAGATGCCCCCTGATTTAACTGCTCACGCCCCCCTCTGGCTCACAGCCCCACCTTCGAGGTTGTGGAGGGATTGGTGGGCATCCCAAAGGCAAATGAGGGGCCTTCCCTGCACCTCCCTCCCACACAGAAGAGCGTTGAAACCTGCCGTGCGCACCCCCTGCAGCGGCTTCGGGCATCCTGACTGCTGGCACAGTGGGGGTGCGCTTTCTAAGAAATTCCCTGCCCCCCACCCCCGAGTTCTAATGGACCAAGGCTCTGCCTGAACAGGCAAGCTTGAAGAATTGCTGGCCCTTCGGTCCCTTAGCTGCCCTGCCCTCTGTCACTTTAGGAAGGGAAGCTAAGTGTCCCAGAAGGTGCAATTGCTCCCTCCTTTATTTCTGGGTCGAGGCAACCCAGGCGAGGCTGGAAGTCGTGACACTTGCTCAGTGCACCCCCCCACCCCCCTGCCCTCCACCACCCCCGTGAGTGAGTGCAGAGGAGTTAGTGTCTATGGGGATTCAAAGGAGAGGCATTCCTCCTGGACCCATTTGACCAACCGAATTCCGATCTGAATCATCAAAGCTATATGGCTTTTTAAAAAGAGCCTGCCTCCTTTTCCCCCAGTGGGCCCTAAGGAGTGTCTCTGGGGCAGCCACAGCCACTGGGTCTTCCTCTGGTTGTCACCAGCCTTCAGGCTGTGGCAGGTTTAGCTTTGCTAGTGTGTGCCGGCAATGCCACTCTCGTAGGACTCGCCCTCCTTGCTGTTCCGCTCTCCGCAGTGGTCGCTGACACCGGGGATTCAGGTGCAAGGCCTGACGGGGCCTGTGGGCAGCAGCTGCGCTGGCTCCTTCTCTCTCCCCCTGACCTTGGACTCTGCCCCCGCCCCTCAGCCTGGACAGACTGAACCTCCCTCTTTTTCCAAGTGCACCCCGTTCAGTAGAGGAGGAACAGACCACCTGCTGCACCCTGAGAGCTTGGGCTTCGGTGACCCCAAAGACTCTCTGGGGGCTGGATAAGGGAAGAGGTCCACAGGTCGCACTGAATGGTGTGTGCCAGAAGGCGCTGGTTAGGGGAGCCCAGACTAGCCCAGAAAGCATTCGTTC